ATATTTCTTTGTGTGGGCTTTTACAAAAGATATCTCTTTAGTCTTACGTCCTACTATTTCCTCTACTCCCCATACTCACACTTCAGGCACAACCTGAATATAAAGTTGTATAATATGTACCTATTAATTCCCTGATTCATTTCATATAATTGTGCTTTTTCCCACTCACACCCTAGAATCTTCCTCCCCATTCTTGTCTCTCTAGTAAACTTAATCACAGTTCAGTTTCAGGTATCAATTCTTCTGTATAAAATATATGAAGATGATGTAAAATGAGATCATGATAAACCTGGAATGACTAAAGCCCTCTCTTTTTTCACTGTGTTGCAGTGTGGAGAATGTCTGGAGGGAGGTGTAATTGGAGTGAGGATGACTGTGGGAAGGCTATTGCTGTAGTCCAGCAAGTGATTAAAAGGTCCAGATTACGGTATAACCCTAGGGATGAAGAGGAGGTGACAGATTTAAAGATATTGAGAGAGAATTTGCTGGGTTTGCAACTAATTGTATTGGAGTTAAGGTAACATTATAAGGCAACTTCATTGCAGTTGGGTGGTACCTTGACCTTATATCCTGTGAGAGAGGGATATGATGAGTTCAGTTTAGAACATTTTGAATTTTTTCAAAATTGGTAAAATTCTGTGAGGCCTCTGTGAAGATAGGGACAGTATTTATGTTCTTATTTGTAATTCTTTGTGTACTGATTGTTCAAGAGATGGCTAAGGGTGCAATCCCTGATTGAGATGGCTGATAGGAAGTTTTATTCATGAGCCCGAGGTTCACAAGAGAGGATCTTGATTATAGATGTAGATGTAGCCATCCATCAACACATAAATGATAGTTAATGCATTGGAGATGAATGAGAAGAGGGCTGAGGTCAAACTCCTAAAACATAGGAAGTCCACAAAAAAGAGGTAGGTGGAGAATGTGAAATGGCAGCTAAAAATGGAGACAGATTAGAGAGCAGTCAAACTGTCTAATTCAGCATGTTATTGCCATGTATGTGGTAAAATTTAAACATTTGTGTATTTGTTTAGCAAACAATGCCTACTAAAGCTAAATAAAAATTAAGGTGATCATTTAATAATAGTGAAGTTTTATTCTCGGAAATTCAACCACTGCTGTATATTCTTTCGTAATTTTTATTATTGACTTACTGTTTTCTCTTTTGTAAAGGAAACTTTTCAATATACACTCTTCAGATGGGCTGAAGAGCTTGATGCTCTCAATAGAACACAAGACTTACTTGGTTGCTATGAGCAAGCCTTGGAGCTGTTTCCTGATGATGAAGTGATTTGCAATAGTATGGGGGAGCATCTCTTCAGGTGTGTAGTGATTTCATATTACTTGTTAAGAATTACTCTATCAGTCTAGATCAGGAATAAATTGTAAAGTAATTTGAATAGGGAAAATTTAATATAAAGAGTTATTAACAAGATCAGAGTAATGACGAATTGGTTAGTAAGATATAAAGAGAATTCAGAAGAATATAGGAATAGCAGATATAATATGTAATAACAGAATAGTTTTAATATTATATCCTATATAATAGCCATTGCCCCAACGGCTAGGACAGAGTATCAAGGACGAGTTCAGCTCCTTACTAGGCTGAGATCCAGGCCTTGTTGGAGAGAACATAACCGAGGTTCACAAGAGAGCAGAGAAATCACCGTGGTGCCATGCCAGGGCATTTGTAGATAATGTTCTCTGGAACTTAGTGGACATTTGCCATTGGAATTTCTGTCTGGTTTGATATTTTTTCTCTCTCTCTTTTGTTGGTGTCCTTAGAAACAATGGTTCTCTTTTTGCAATCATTTTTCATATCTGTAATATTTAAGTAAAATATATAATTATGATAACAAGTACAACTGGTATAAACTGGTCTGGCAGCAAATTCAGCTGACTCTTGGTGACCATTCAATTCAGTTGCTGTTAGAAAAGATATTCAGGCACACCAGAGAGGAGGCTACTAGCCATAGGCTTTAGCACTTTTTACAGAGCAAATGGTTTTTCGAAAGCACTAGTGTTCTGGTAGGTTGGTTAAATGGAGGATGACTTTGAGAGCTTCTGTTGTGCTATAGATAGTACAAAAGTAATTGCAGTCAAGTGTTTGTTAGTGTTCTGGAATGCATAAATATAGGGGTTCAGAAAGGAAAGAAGTGATCACGGATTGCAGTCCTCACTGAAAGCTTCCCAAAGGAGATGGCACTTGGGTTGCGTAGGATTTGAGGTGGTCTTGAGAGATTCTCAGGCCAGTTGAGTGGCATGAACAAAGGCATTGTAATTAATAGCACAGTCAAATATTTTGTTTGTCATTTTTTACTAGGATGGGCTTTAGAGACGAAGCAGCTGGGTATTTTCATAAAGCAGTGAAGCTAAACCCTGATTTCAGTGATGCAAAAGAGAATTTTTATCGTGTTGCAAACTGGTTGGTGGAACGCTGGCACTTTATCATGCTTAATGACACCAAAAGGAATACGATTTACAATGCAGCAATCCAAAAGGCAGTTTGTTTGGGATCCAAAAGTGTTTTGGACATTGGAGCAGGAACTGGAATACTGAGGTTTGAGTACTTGTGTTTTAATCGATATACATGTATGCTAATGTAAATTAAAAATTTTACCAAATATAGCATATTTAACTCATTTTAAAATAGTTTTTCATAAACTTATTAAGATTATTCATGCTATTGTATTTTTTACTATAACTTGCTTTATCAAAAACTGGACATAACTACTAAGAAAAATTTGGGGCTGTTGTTGAAATTTCGCATTAAATTTTAATAGAATTTTTTATATTAATATTCTGGTTGACTCTAGATGTTTAATTCCATTAGTGTTCTTCATGCCAGTTGTGTCTTTGTAATAAAGTGGATGTCATGATTTATTGTATGATTTGTTTCTTAACAAGAACATTAGTTCATTTTTAACATGGAATGAATAATGGTTGTCTTAAATAATTAAAGGGAAACCCCATGTTTAAGTATCATAATTCCACCAAAATTTGAAAAAAAACACAGTGGATTACTTTTTCTTGATGGAGCATTTTTCCCTTTATAGCATGTTTGCTAAAAAAGCTGGAGCTCATTCAGTGTATGCCTGCGAGTTGTCCAAGACCATGTATGAACTTGCCTGTGATGTAGTGGCAGCAAACCAGATGGAAGCAGGGATCAAACTTTTACATATGAAGTCGCTTGACGTAGAAATTCCAAAACACATTCCTGAAAGGTATTATAAAGTAAACCAATTTTAGTGTTTTTAATCCACTATTTTATTTTTTAAAAATTAAGATATTTAACATTTCTAGCTTCTAGTCCAAACAAAAATGTTAAAACTCTTATATTGTAAAGATATGGATATAGGATAGTTTAGCATAAGATGGATTTTCATGAAGTCATATTTTTGATAAAAAGTATTTAAAGACCTAGAGAAAAATTTGTGGCCAGGAACTTAATAAAGAAACTTGACCTTTAGCAAATCACTTTACTTTTGTTAATTCTAGAGTTCTAGTTGTAAAAATGGGTAATATGTCCTATGTGGTCAATAACTATTTAAAAACTGTTCTTAAAAATAATGCATGAGTGGATCAGGTTTGATAGACTTATCATATTTTGAGTTAATATCCTTGGCTAAAATCAAAGCTTTAGAAGTCAGCTGTCAATGGCTTAGGCCCTTTAAATGCTTTACATATTATCTCATAAGTCTTGGTTTTTGAGTATGTTATCTCACTTTAATCCATACCACACGGGTGATGGAATTTTAGAGCTAGAAGGGATTTAAAATCATCTAGTTCAACACTCATTTTAGAGAGTTTTTTCTGTGTAGCACTTGCTTTACTACCTCTCCTGAGTAGTCTATCTTCTCATCTTATTTAAATTCAGTTTATATTGAAACAGGGCTTTTTATACTTTGTTGTCATTTGGATTATGATTTTTAAAAGTCGTCTTATGTATATACCTAATAATATTTACATGATACTTACGCTTCTCTGTAGTCTCTACATTTGTTCTCATAAAATAGAACGAAGTCTTTAGATTGTTGAAGCAGATAATTGTACTCATTTTATAGAAATTAACAGTTCCTGAATTGTTTTACTTTGCTCAGACAGCTGTAACAAAATACTGTAGGCGAGGTGGCTTAAACAACAGACATTTATTTTCTCGGTTTTGGAGGGTAGAAGTTCATGATCAAGGGTGCCAGCAAGTTTAGTTTCTAGTGAGAGTTCTGTTCCTAGCTTGCAGATGGCTGCCTTCCTGCTGTGTCCTCACATGGCCTTTCCTCTGTACATATGAAAAAGAGAGAGGTCACCAGTATCTCTTCCACTTTTATAATGACATCAGTTCTATGAGGTTATAACCGCCCTTATGATAGCATTTAACCTTAATTACCTCCTAAAGACCCTCTCCGAATACAGTCACATTGGGGGTTAGGACTTCAACATGAATTTTGATGGTTCACAGTCAGTCCATGCCATGACTCAAAGTTACCTTAATTTAATTACATTTTTCTCACAAATAGTGTTGTAGAAGGATCTACTGGCTTTCACTGAGGAGATATGGATTCTAATAAGGACTTCATTATTTATTTTGACCTTGAGCTAATCTAAAGATTGGACTAGATGATTTGAGATACCTTCCACATTCTATATGTATAGAGTCATAAATATTGAAAGTGTGTGTGTGTGTGTGTGTGTGTGTATTGGGTTAGGTGTATGTGGGGAATACCAAAGTTTTTGTTCTCAAGGTACCTACAAATTAGATAGGAAGATCTGGAATAATCATGAAATGTTTTTTGTTTGTTTGTTTGTTTTTTTATCTTCTAACTGTACAAAGAAATGATGCCAGCAGGAAGTGCTAAAGAAGTTCAGAGGAGGAAGTAATTATTTTAGTATGTCTTTGAGTGAAATTTTCTAGAAAGAAAGAATGGACAGAAAATTAGAGCTCTGTGGACTAGACTTTAGTGAAAACTCACATGTAGTGGAAAAGCAAGAGAAGTAACAAGAGAGGCACAATCGATGCATAAGATTAGTAAACATGGATAATGAAGGTAGAAAAGGATTTTAAGAGGCAGGGCTTCTCACCCACATTAAATGTTATTTGTACATCAAGAAAAATGAAAATTGAGAAAGATTTTATTTTGATAAGTAGAGAAGTCACTGATGATAGTATTTTTATAGAGTATTGGGATAGAAGTCCAATTACTCCTTACTAAGGAGGGAGACTGGTCAAAGTAATGGGTTTGAACCACTCTTAAGGATTAAAGCAGGAATCATGAGTAGGCAGCAGAGTTAAGTGAAGGTTGTGCCCCGCCCCCCACACACACCCACCCCACCCAGTGGAGAACAGAGGAGCTGGAGGAACATTAGAGTCAAGTTCCTCAAGATTCAAGAGTAGATATTAAAAATGAAATGTATTAGAAAATTTTTACATATGAACTGTTTCTATAACATACTCTTCCTTTCTCCTCTCAGCTTTGACATCTTTATATAAATAGCATGATATTTTACTTACATATGTCTTTAAAAAATCATTCTATAGAGTATCCCTAGTTGTAACAGAAACTGTCGATGCAGGTTTATTTGGAGAAGGAATTGTGGAAAGTTTGATTCATGCATGGGAGCATTTACTTTTACAGCCAAAGGTAAGCTTAATACTTAAGTTAGATTAAGAATTCATTATTTTAACAGATATTTATTGACTCCCTAGCATATTTGCAGAGCAGTATGAAATACAGCCCATTTTCAAGGCACATACTGTGTAGTTGGAAAGAAATCTGCGCAAAAAAAAATTTAATAACATAATGCAATGTATACTTGTGTGCTCAAATGGGGTATATAGGCAGAAAATACTCCAGAAAGGAATTCATTATTGCATTGTGAAGGAACTGACTGTTGATTGAATAGAGTTGAAAAATGGAAGTACTTTGTCTTAAAGCCCCCATGGCAAATTATCAAAAGGGACTCTAGTGATAGCTGGCTTGGTGTGGTTTTAAGGTACTAGTTGACTCCAGGGTACTGATTGGACATGACTACCTTTTATAATCACCAAATTATATTTTTCATTGAAATGATCTAAGTGCCCAAAAGTTGTAGATTTGGTTTATGTAATACGTATTATGAATGAAAAGATTTTAACATGTTGTAAGAATTCAGTACTTATACAAAAATGATTTAGATTTAAAACAACTAATTAAAGGGCGAAAAAAAGAGCAGTTTGTTTTACAAGTAGATAAAGATGATTTTGGCTTCCCAGTTAAAGTCATACCCAATAGTCATTTGCTATATGTAAACTTACAGACTTATAACTATCCCCTTTCACTTCCTCCCTTCCTGTTTGTACTGTTAAAACCACATATATATAAGGTTATGTGTGTATATATGTGTGCATAAATATACAAACACACATTATATATACATATGTACAGTACGTGTATACCTATGTGTAGCAATGAAAATAAACTTTTTAAAGGGCAAAAACCCTAAACCTGCTTATCCTCGCCTATTGTTTAAGTTTTTGTTCTTATTAATTTTCATCATTTGTCATCACACATATTTTTGCATACATGTAACTGAATGTAGTTTTTATTGTTATATTTTTAGACCGGAGGTGAAAATGGTAATTGTGAAAAGTTTGGGAAAGTTATACCAGCAAGTGCTGTTATCTTTGGGATGGCAGTAGAATGTGCACAAATAAGGAGACATCATAGGTAAGTGATTATTTACATAGTAAATATTTAAAAATAACAATTTTAAGGACTAGGCTGTACTTTAAAGGTTATTTAATGAATATTTATTCAGATGAGAATTTGTAGTTTTCTGACCTTGAAATTCATGATGTTTATTCCAGCCTTAATTATCTTTTTTCCTTTTTTAAAATTTTCTTTAAAAATAGGACTCTAAGGTTAAAACCAGCTTTCAGTTTTCTAGTGGAAAATTAATTGTGATAAAATTTAGTGTCCTTTTGATGTGTGATAGATTCATGTAGAAATATGTTAAGTTCAGATTGATTTTATATGAAAGTAAAATAAAAGTTTACAATATGAAAATCATTTCAGTTTTAATTTATTTTTCATTTCCTTCTTAATAACTTTATTGCTATTATAATGTTTTGTGGTTGAGTGGGATGAAATTTTAGAATCTTTCTACCCTTGAGATTCTGAGATTTACTTACCAATTATAATACAGGTAAAAATGTTTTTAGTTTTAGAAGTTTCTTGGTTACATTTTTTTCTTTGAAAATTAATGGGCTTTTTTTGGCTAAAACATTGATTCATATTTTGTTAAGACTTTTAAAGAAGTCCTGCTTGCAGTAACTTATTAGTGGTAAATGTAACAAATATCTTAGGAAATACTAATGAGTAAAAGAATGAAATAAAAATCATCCTGATAATTGCTGTAGGTAAATACTGTTCATCTTTATTGTATATTTTTCCTTACACTTTTCTATGTATATTACATGGTGATAAGTAAAAATATTTATTGATCGTTAGGGCACAGGGCACCAACCAAAGGGACAGACTGGTTTAACAAGAGCGTACTGGTTGAGTGTCAGCTTTGTGTAAGTAAGTGTGTTGTATGTGAATTTGTGTTTCAGAAGTGGTAATAGATATATTTTACCTTTTGTTAATAGATTTGCTTCATGATTTTTAAAAATCAGTTTCCTAGTGTAGTTTTCAGAGTTTAGAATTTTTAGGTTGCTTCCATTTTTTCTGTTTGTAAGAACAAGGGTAAATATCTTTGTATTTATGTCCTTGTGGACTTTATTTATTATTTTCTCAAGATAACTTTCTTAATAAAGAACTACTGCGTTGAAAGGTATGAACATTATTCAGACTATATAGAAACATTGCTCAATTGCCCACCAGAAAAGATAGGTTGTGTTTTGCTGAGATTTCTAGCTATAACATATTTCTAGACTCCTTGCCCTCATTATGTTTTCTCTTTATATTTTATAGAAAAAAATTGTTTGCCTAGCAAAATAGAAATTAAATGATTGGTGTCTACCATTTTAAAAAAGAATTCCTTCATCACTGACTTATTTATATTACAAATGAGTGTCTTGACTATGCAACAGAAGCACTAGAGGAACTTAGGTAAAAATAAAAATGCCATACATTTTGTTTGAGTAGGTCTGGGTGAGCGAGGCCTAATATCTGTTTTTCACAAAGCTCAGCAGTGTGGGTTGAGGACTGTAAAGAAAAGTTCTGAAAGAAATGTAAATGAATGTTGCTGTTTTATCTGGTAGAAACATTTATAAACTATTATTATAAAAATTACTGTTTGGAACCTAATCAGTTGAATCTTATGCTCATCTGAATAAGTACATATTTTAAGAATAGCCAAGAAAACTATTTTAACTTACTTTATTAGTTAAAAAACTAGAAATAAAGAACAGTAATGTATTGATGTAGAAATAGAAAAATAAATCAGTGGAACACAGTAAGAAATCTTAATATAAACCTTTGATGAATTTATAAGGATTTAGTATCTGATACAGGTTTGGTGTTTTAGATAGTGGAGAAAGGATAAATTATTCAGCAAATAGAGATAGTGTGCTTCATTTGGGGAAAAATGTTAGATCCTTTTAATTCCAGATGAATCAAATATCTAAGTGTAAAAAATCCATTAACTGATGAAGGCTTTCTAAAGTAAAGCACAGGGTTTCTAGAAGCAATAAAAGATTGACAAATTTGACCATATTAAAAAAAAAAATGAAAAAAAAATTCACTATTTTACATCATTGGTGAAAGATAAAGTTAAAAGGCAAGTCACAGATGAGATAAAAATTGCGACTTTTAAAGCATAAATATAATTGTCTATTTAACAGAGAAATGAAAATTAATAGGATAGCATTTTTAACTGTTTATGTTTACAAACTAAAAATGATCGATCCTATACTGTTTTCTTGTAGGTGGTGCCACATTGTAATAGCTCAGTTTAGTATTATCTAACAAAACCAAAGATGTGTATAGTCCTTGACCTAGCATTTCCACTTCTGATAATCTGTCTCGATAAATACTCATATATGTGTGCAGTGATATGTATGTAAGGATGCTTACCGTAATAGTGTAGTTGGAAAAATCAAAACAAAAATCTATCTGAATGTTTATTAATAAGAAAATGTTTCAATAAATTTTAGTAAAACATTCACCCAATGCAATACCTCAGAAATGTCAAAAAGAATTAGTTAAGGTACATGTACCAACATAGAAATTCATGACGTACTATTAGGGAAAAACAAGGTGTAATCCTAGGAGCATTGAGCATACATAGTACTCAAATCTTGGTTTCTGGGTACCATTCCTCACTGCAAGATACTTTGATAACTTAGAGAAATGACTGCTTCCAGGACTGGGGCAGGGCAGATTCAGGATGACTCTGGAACATCTTAGGTCAAAAAAAAATGATAAGGGTGTTAAAGAACACAGGGATATGCTTGGAAGTATCTCCCACTGGCCAAATCTGGGACAGTTTAAGGACTAAAATATGTAAGGGCAGTTGTGAATTAAAACCCATTGCCTAAAATGAGAATCCATGAATCTCTACTTATAATAAATAGATTAATACATTATTGAGAAAAACTCATACAGTAGAATGCTAATTCAAAATGTAGAACAAATGATACAGAATTACTATTTGCAATCCTTGTGGAAAGATGCAAGCAAGAATTACGAATGGATACTAAATCAAAGGGAGAAACTTGATGAGGATCATGTATTAATATAGTTTCAAAATATCTTACTGCAATTAATACAAATTACTTATTACAAAAAGAAAAATGTTAAAATATACAGGGAAGAATACAAAACATCTTGACAAAGTGATCAGGATTGATATCACCAATAAGATTCCTCCAAATTTGATACTTTGAGGATACATCACTTGGGAAGTATTACGTCCAAAATGTATAACCTGTCTATAATTGTGAGGAAGCCTCAGACAAACCCAGATTGGGGCCAGTCTATTAAATAACTGGCCCTCCTTCTTCAAAAATGTTAATGTTATTAGAGACAAAGTAAGGATGAGGAACTGTTTCAGGTTAAAGAAGATTGAAGATACAGGACAGCTAAATTGAAATCATGATCCTGTATCAGAGAGAAAAAACTATACAGGACATTTTTGATTTATAGATCATTTGACAAATGTGGAATATGGACTGAAGATTAGGTAATAAAGAATTTGATAACTGAATTGTGATTAAGAAAATATCCCCATTCATAATAATGATACACTGATGTATCTATTAAGAAATAAATGAGCATGATGAATGTAACCTACTCACAAATGATTCAGAAGAAAGAATATATATGGAGAGGAGAGAATATGATAAAGCAAATGTGGCAGAATATTAAAAAATTTTGAGTCTGGTTAAAGGATGTGGGAGTTCTTTAGACTATCCAGGAAGTTTTCTATAAATGTGAAATTTTCAAAATAAAGAGTTAAGAGTACAGAAAAAAACATGTATAATATTTCTGAGCAATATAATACATATTATTACATAAATATAAAGAAAAAAGATATGAAAGGATACACATCAAACTTAACAGTGAAAAAATAGGGACAAAGGAGTACTATGAAGATAGACTTACACTTTTTTTTACTATACTGTTTACTGTTTGAAAAAAATAACTATATTCATGTATTTTATAGGACATTAAAAGAAACTTTTTGTCACATTCTTTTTGCTTATATATATTTGTCACATCCTTTTGCTTCTATAACTTATGACTTTTAATTAAGAGTTATTAAGATCAAGAATACCATTTGATAATTTGAGAGTATAATAAAATTTCTAGAAGAAGGTCGTTTGAACTTGAAACCCTATACAGGTAGATAGACTAATAAATGAATATCTGAGATAAGATGAGGTTGGAGTATTCCTTTCACAAAATGGTGTTGCTAATTCCATTTGATAATTTATCTTTTGAGAATATAATAAAATTATTTCTAGAAGTAGACTGAACTTCTGAAACTCTATAAAGGCAGATGGACTAATAAATGAATGTCTCTGACATAAGATGAGGTTGGAGTATTTCCTCTTACAAAGTGGTGTTGCTAAAATGTTCATGATTTTTTTTAGTGTAAATTATTGACATCAAACATTATAGCGAGTACATAGATCATAAATTTATGATTTGATGAACTTTCATGAAGTTGATAGACTTGTGTATTGCTCAAAGCAAGGTTCAGAACATTACCACACACCAGAAACTTCTGCTATTTACCCGTACTCTACCCCGCAAGAGTAGCCACTATCCTGACTTCTAACACCATAGATCATTTTGCTGGTTTTGAATTTCATACAAATGGAATCATACTTTTTTTTTTTTTGTGCCTGGCTTTTTTCGTCCAACACATTCACATTTTTATGTGTAGTTTGTTCATTCTCATTGCTGTATAGTATGCAATTCTATGAACATACCACAATACATTTGTTCACTTTGCTGTCTAGGGACATTTAGGTAAAATCCAGTTTTTTGGCATTGGAAATAGTAGAGCGATAGACATTCTTGAACATGCCTTTTGTGATGGTCTGTGTGTACTTTGTGGGCCATATTCCTGGAAATGGAAATGTCAAACACCTGAAACAGATCATGTTCAGCCTGAGTGATGAAGCCCACCCAAGGGTCTTACTAATTGTATATTCCTACCAATAGCGTGTTGTCTGTAATCGTACCAACACTTGGTATCGACTGTGTATTTTCCTCATTCTGGTTCATTTCCCTGATGACTAATGAATCCGAGCAACATTCATATGCTTATTGGCCATTTGGATGTGCTCTTTTGTGAAATGTCTAAGTCTTTTGCCCATTTTTGTTTTTGTTCTTTTTAATTTGCAGGAATTTAAAAATATATTTTGGTTAGGAGGCTTTTGTTGAATTGATGTATTATAAATCTCTTTTACTCATTGGCTTGCCATTTTACCTTCTTACTGGATATCTTTTGATGAGCATATGTTCTTAATTTTAATGTAGACCTATTTATCATTTGTTTTCCTTAATAAATAGTGAGTGTGTATGTAATTGTGTTTAATAAACCTTTGTCCATAAAGTTTTATTTAATTTTTATCTTTATTTTTGCTGGATTCAATGCGCTACATGATTCTAAAAACAAAAAAAATCTTTCTCCCTTCCCCCCCTTATTTCCCGTCTCACCAGGGTGGGTGTTAAGGACATTGCTGGGATCTGTTTGCCAACAAATGTGAAATTTCAGAGTCCAGCTTATTCTTCTGTAGATAATGAAGAAACAATTGAACCTTATACAACTGAAAAGATGAGTCGAGTTCCTGGAGGATATTTGGCTTTGACAGAGTGTTTTGAAATTATGACAGTAGATTTCAACAATCTTGAGGTAAAAAAAAAAAGTTCAATTACTATTTTTAAGCATTAAACTTCATCTGTTGTTTAAAAGAATTAATACATAGGACAGTCGTATGAGTTTGCATGGAATTCCACTTACTATGTAAGGAAAATAATTAAACAGTAACCAGAATTCCCTCCTGAAATTATTTACTTTAAATACAGAGAAAAATATTTCTAGGATTTGTTGAGAATGAGTAAAGTGTCAGCCAGATACTTTCACATGTGTTCTTAGGTTGCTCAGACAACAATGTTGCAATACAGTTTTAATTATCCTTGTGCTATACAGCACGGATCCCCAGCCCCTAGTCCTGGGACAGCTACTGGTCTGTGGCCTGTTAGGCCACACAGCGGGTGGTGAGTGGCAGGCCAGCTAGCGAAGCTTCATCTGTATTTGCAGCTGCTCCCCAGTGCTAGCATCACTGCCTCAGCTCCATCTCAGATCATCAGGCATCAGATTCTCATAGGAGCGCCGGTCCCTGGTGCCAAAAAGGTTGGGGACCGCTGCTGTACAGATGAAGGAACTGTTAGTTACATTAATTTCCCGCTTATAATGCAACATGTGAGTGCAGAGGCAGGAGTTCTAATCAAGATGTTTCTGGCTTTTCTGAGTCATGCTGCTGTTTCAAATTAACAGCATTCCTTAAAATGAACAGTAATTGTATTGTATGACTATTAGGGTGACCAACCATCTCGGTTTGCCCGGGACTGAGCTGTTCCCGAGACGTGGGACTTTCAATTTTGAAACTGGGACAGTATTGGGAAAATCAGGTCAAATTGGTCACCTAGTCCATGTGTGTGTTGCCAGCGGGTGGGAGGATGTGCTGTACAAAGAAAGTGCTCAAAGAAATCGAAGTTAAGAGAATCCTCTGAAGATCTTTAAAGGGTTAAATGTTCAAGTACATAAGTTTTTTAGATGAAAACTGCTTGGAGATAGAAGACTTTGGGAGAGTCATTTTAGTCTAAGATTTTTATAATTTAATAAAAGTTTTCTCCTATTAATTGTTACTAGATTTTTCTTGAGGTGGTCTGGAGCTAAATGCGCATTTTGGCATTGCTTCCTAAGGCTGAGCTTCAAGAGCATTTCTTTTCTAATAGAACATTCCAGTAAAGAACAGCATTACAGCTGTTAACTACCCCAAAGCTATCCTTTAGTTTAAGATTTCTTATTTTAATTTTTCCTTGCCACAATTTAAAAATAAAAACACCTTTAATATTAAGGCTTTAATTTTGAAAGCGTTGCTTGCCTATTTAACACTTTCAAGTAATACAGAAGTATAGAAGGGAAAAAGAAAAAGTGCATTTCTTCACTTTTTGAATTTAAGCCCTTCTTTCTCAAGATTAACAGTTGGAAGTGCATCTCTTCAAACTTGCGTTTCTATTCTACACACACAAACACACTTTTTACAAAACAAGACAGTCTATTGCTTTTCCATTCACTGCTCTTATTCAACAATATATCATAAACTTCTTTCTACATCAGTAATATGTTTATGCCTCATTGTTTTTAATAGTTGTATGATGTTCCACTGTGATAGAGTTTCCCATTCAATGTGCCTTAAATGGTTGTAGGGGTACCAAGATTTTGATCCCTTAAGGGCACTGGCAGGAATGAGAACTTACAAAAATAGAAAGTGATGTGATATTGGGCTGTGTATATATTAAATATATAAATTTAATTTTATATTTCTTTTACATTTTAATTCCTTTTGCATTTTTTTTTGTCAGGAATTAAAAGGTCTTGCAACCAAAAAGCCTGGTAAAATTGGTGTCCCAGTTATTAAAGAAGGCCTACTAGATGCTATTGTGGTTTGGTTTGTACTCCAGCTTGATGACGAACACAGTTTATCCACAAGTCCTAGTGAGGAAACATGTTGGGAACAGGCTGTCTACCCCGTGCATGACCTAGCAGGTATTATATTGTCTAATTTTTTTGTTTGTTTTTTTAAACTTATTGCTTTAATCCTCTAAGCATTTGAGTCAGTGTCAGAAAAATTATTTCAAATACGAAGTTTTCAGTCAAGGAAGATTGTTTAATCTTTTGAGAATTTTCCTTTTTAAAAGTAACTTTAATCAATATCATATATGTAGTTGAGAAGAGAAACTAAAACACAACTCTGCTGCATACCACTCACAAAGATCTATCATTAAATTATTTCTTCTGCTCTGATTAGTTACCAGTACATAAGAGAAATGCCAGTCCATTTTTTATGGCACACAGTGCCATAAAAAGCATTACTTTTAGTGCAAGACTCCTTACAGCTTACAGAATCTGATGGCATCTGTGGGGCCCTGGGTCATAGAGATACACATACTCATGTAAGTACAAAGTTTTTCAGTTTTAGAGCGTACCTGAATCCATGGACTTCTCTAGGAAAGTTCTATATTAAAGATATTTTTGGTATAGAAATTTTTTTTACCAACAACTTGTTTTCAGTACATTTCACAGCAGTTATATTACATAGAAAAACTCTACCTTTTTAAAAGTGGCTATTTGTTTCTCCTCTGATGGATCTAATTTGGCAAGATCATTAAGTCGTGGAATCAGTATTGTGGCTAGTATGGTGTTGTTGGAGTCAGTCAGGTAAGGTAGATTTGGGTTCAGATCTCAGCTCTTCTGCTTACTGACTCCCTGGCTGGCCTTGCTGGTTATTTCTTAGAGCTTTTGTACTTGCTATATAAAAATGGGATGATTCTACCTACCTTGCAAGACTGTTGTAGGGATCATTAGAGATAATGAATGTAGAATGCCTACCATAGTGACTGGCACTTAATAAGTAACGTTTTCTATTTGTATTTGTGTATCCTAAAACTTTTATAGTAACTTATTCAGATGAGCTTTAAAAAAAAAAAAAATCATTCTTAGAGAAAGGACATTTTAAATGTTTAAACATAGAATAACACCTTGTATTTTCAACTGGCTCTAGGGCTGATAAAGAATTGTGATTGTACATTTACATCTTAAAGTTTACCAAGTGTGCAGGGTCAGGGCTGGTTAGTACCTGGATGGGAGACCACCTCAGAATACCAGGTGCTGTAGGCGTTAAAAAAAAAAATTAAAGTTTACCAAATGTGAAAGCTAATAGAAAAGAGCATGATATAGTCTATTCTCTGACTTAGTTTTTCCTTATATTTTCAAATTTATAAAATTACAAGACTGTCAGAGATATTACCGATAAGGTTCTATTGAATGCTGCTTTGTTCTTTTGGAAATTTCTGTTGAAGAATGTCCCTTTAAGTTTAAGTGAAGTTTGGTGTTGAACCCTGAATTTTATTTATCTTTGTTATTTTTGGCTTCATTACCAAAGAAGATTGAGAGTTCCCTGTTGCCCTTTCCCCAACCTCCAATTTTGAGGTCTCAGTGATACTCAATGATTGTAGTAAAAGCACTAAATACTGATAATTAGGGTTCAGTAATGGAGCTCTTGAACCTATTAGACTATGAGTTAATTAAATCTTTAAACTTGTTTTTCCTACGTAAAAACTGGAGGGATTTTCCTAGGTTTTTGTTTTTTGTTTTTTGTTTTTTTGTAGGAAATGATTAATTCACTTAATTCTAATAAACCAATAAACATAGTCTTTCCTGTAGTGATTTAAAAAAATGGGGTGGTGGAATGGGAGGACAGATGTGTTTATGTGATGATCATCAGGCTTATAAATACTCATATTCATCAATTATAACTTTTTTTCTTCTGTTTTATGAAGACTACTGGATAAAGCCTGGGGATCATGTGATGATGGAAGTATCTTGTCAAGATTGTTACTTAAGAATCCAGGGTGTCAGTGTCTTCAGTTCAGAACATAAAATGGATGTTGGGAAAAGTTTTGCCAAGAATAAAGACTTGCTGTCATTAGGAAATGAGGCTGAACTCTGTAGTGCCCTGGCTAACCTTCAGACCAGTAAACCAGATGCTATGGAGCAGACATGTGTATTGGAATCCACAGAAATTGCTTTGCTTAATAACATACCGTATCATGAAGGCTTTAAAATGGCAATGAGGAAAGTGTTGTCTTCACTGACTCCAGAGAAACCATGTCAGGCCATGGAGACTCACTGTCAGGATAGTGACATGAGCTGTGAAAGTGGACAGAATAATTCTGAACAGAGTGCCTCTGAGCCTTTCTACGTGTTAGACGTGTCTGAAGGCTTCTCTCTTCTGCCTATAATTGCCGGCACACTTGGGCAGGTTAAACCTTACAGTTCTGTGGAGAAAGACCAGCACCGTATCACACTGGACCTCATATCTGAAGCCAATCACTTTCCTAAAGAAACACTTGAGTTTTGGTTGAGACATGTAGAAGACGAATCTGCTGTGCTGCAAAGGCCTAAATCAGACAAGTTGTGGAGTATAATTATATTGGATGTCATTGAGCCATCTGGGCTCATTCA